AAGCAAGTTTTCCTCCCCCACGTGCTGTTTCTCATTACCTTTTGGTCAGTTTTCAGGCAAATCGCACACCCTCTTCTGACTGCTTTTGCAAGTGGTAACACAAACCTTGGATTCCCCAGTGGGTCAATTCACGTAACTCTACTAGCACTCTTCGAGCTAGGGCTTTATTTAGGAACTTACATCCATCAGGAATTAACTACTCTCCTTGTTCCCCTTGATGTAATTCTAGTTCTTTTAGTATTTTAAATTCTTTTTCACTGAACCTTGGCTTTTCTTCTTTTCTTTCTCTACTTGGTCTTACTTCTATTCTAAAATCTTTTATTGGATTTTTTTGAGTCTAAGGTTGCTTCTTTAGCTATCTGATCTGCTAATCGTTTTCCCTTTTCTTTACGGGTGTGTCCCTTCTGATGTCCCTTTATATGCACCACAGCTATCTCTGCGGGATTTTGTAAGGATTCTAATAATAGTTTAATCAGCCTCTCATGTACCAGGTTTTTCCCTTTGATGTTTAGGTAGCCATGCTCCTTCCAAATTTTTCCGAAGGTATGGATGATCTTAAACGCATATTGTGAGTCTGTGTAAATAGTTTCTTGGTGTCCCTCTAACAGGTTTAATCCTCTTTTCAAAGCATAGACTTCGCAACACTGGGATGACCAGTTTCCCTTTTTCTGTGACTTTCATGTCTTCCCTGTCTATGGCAGCATATCCTGAGGCTCTTTTACCTCCTACTACTCTTGAGGGCCAACCTATAAAAAAGGATCTCCCGTATGGCAGGGGTACATCTTCTAAATCCTCTCTCACTTTGGTCTGTAGAATCATGAGTTTAACACAATCATGCTCTAGACTAGCCAGAGAGTCTCCGGCAAGAAACTGTGCAGGGTTTAGACATTTGGAGGTGACTAACTCTAAGTCACCTGTGTTCATTAAGATGATCTCATACCTCAATATTCTAGAGTCAGTCAACCACTGCTGAACTTTTTGGCTTAGTACTGTTTTGAGATCGTGAGGGGTGTGTGTCGCTGTTGAGGCAGGATGGGAATGAAGAAGCTCACTCAGAAGGCTGCTGAGAGTAAAACTCCGATTTACTCAAAATACACCGCTCTTTTATACAGAGCTTCGCAAAGACCAAATCCATTGGTTCTGAAGTGAAAACCACCGACACCATTGGTGCCGAGTTCTTGATGCACAGTGATAGAATTTAACTATAAACAATGTGAGAACAAGAGAGATAAAGAATTATTTACATTCTTTCCCAGGCTTTTTGCCTGGCTAGAAACTCTCAGTTTCTTTCCTTTGAGTGAATCTGAGTCCCACAGGTGTGGACTTGAATTTTCTCTTGCAGGATCAACTTTTGGGCTTCTTCTATCAAGATAGCTGCTGCTGCAATTACTTGTAGGCAAGTTGGCTATCCTCTGTCTACTGGGTCTAGTAGTTTTGAGAGGTAGGCTATTGGCTTTTTATATCTTCCCCACTCCTGAGTTAATTCCCTGTCTTAGTTTAGGGCAAATTTGGGGAAAACTCTCTGGAAGGGGTTTTTGGAAAATAAACTCCTACGGCTCTTCTTTATTTACCTGGTTTGGGAAAAAATTTTCTTTGAGTGAAGTGGAAAAGAACCTGTTTATTTAACGAACAAAGTACTTCTCAGAACTAAAAAGAAAATTAACAACACCAGATGACAACAAAACTTTTTTACTATTCTGAAGAGATGAATAAATCTAGAAAGTCTTTCCTGGGAGTGGTCGCCCGGGTCTGGACGCTGGGGATTGCTCTCCAGCATTGGGGATGGCTGCTGCAGATCATAAAATGCAGGATCTCAGTGTTCCTTGGTGTTTCCCAGGTCCCAGGCCAGAGCAGGTTGGATGGTATTCAGAAAGAGGAAAGGAAAATAAACAGTCCAGGGAAAGAATTGGACTGCTTAGCTAAATTAATTAGGAAGCAAAGGCAAAAGCAGAAGCAAGCAAAGCAAGCAAGCTAAGCAAGCAAGCTAAGCAAGCAAGCAAAGCAAAAGCAAGCCAGCCAGCACTAGCTTTTTATAGACAGCAGACAATGGGGGAGGTGAACTGGCTGATAATAAGGCAAAATAAATTTTTACTTTTAGAGTCAGTTTTGAAAGTACAGAACATAATATTAAACATAAACAGAACACACGATTAGAGATATAAACACTATAATGTTATTTTAGGACATTTTACTCTTTATCTCTATATTTTTAACATTATGTAAAAGCGCTATTAAATTAAAACTTGTATTTTTTATTTACTCATACTTTCGACACTTACACATTTCGTTCTATTTTACTTGCTTAAACTTTTGACACATACATTTCCTTCTATTTTATTTGCTTAAACTTTTAACACTTATAAATTTTTTCTTTTTTATGTCTGTGTGTTTTTATGCACAGACATTGGCAGTAACATTTAGTAAACAGTGATATTTGCATAATAGTTTTACTTTATAATCAGATTTTTTTGAGGTACACATTGTGTTGCTCTATTTTTCTGCATTATTTACTATGTATAACTTGGTTTCTGAGTAAAGAAAATTTTTCAAATGGGTTTGTCTGTACTTGAGGCAGGATTGATCTACACTGATTTTTTTAACAAACTTTTGATATGTGCTACTGGGACTTTATTTTTGTTTATTATATTTAGGGGGTCAGACTGGGTAGGACTTTCTTGATTGGTGGAACTTCGGCTGTTAACTAACTAGGTGGTTTTTGCTAAATGTTGCTCTTAATTTTTGAAAGATCCCCCACCCAATGCTTTTAAGGTGGTTTTTAATAGTTTATTGTATTTTTCTACTTTGCTTGCAGCTGGTGTATGGTAGGGAATGTGGTACACTCACTCAATGTTATGTTCCCTAGCCCAGGTGTTGATAAGGTTATTTTGAAATGAGTTTTATTGTCTGATTTAATTTTTTCAGGGGTACCATGCCTCCAAATGACCTGCTTTTTAAGGTTTAGGATGGTGTTATGGGCTGTAGTATGAGACACAGGGTAGGTTTTTAACTATTTAGTGGTGGCTTGTGAGAACCCCGGGATTGATTCAGGGGTCTCGTGTGGTGGTAAAGTCTCTCCTCCAACCCGTGCTTCCAAAGAAAAACTCCGCAGCCTCTTGTTGTTCAGTCTCAAGGCAGTTTATTGCTAGCTATCTAAAAGATTGTCTTCGCCCGCCACGGCTGCCTTGGTCAGCTGCTCAGGCAGAGACACACACACTCCTGACACCCTCACTGTCCAGTGTCTCCGTCGTCTCTCTCCCTGCCCAGGGCTGCTGCTATCTTTTATATGATATATTACGTCTTACATGTTTACAGATCTTCCCCAATACCTACTACCTATGTTACAATGTGCTTTTCTACTCTAAACCAATCTGTGAGTACCAACATCACCAAGAACATGGAGGTAAGGAAGAAGAAGGAGGAAGAACCGGATCAGGCCCACTTTCCTCCATCTTAGAACTCCTGACCCCCCTGTACAAAGTAAAACCCTCCTGTACAGGTGTTAAAACCCCCCTGTACAATACTAAAAAATTTTCCCCTCTAATTTGTGACTACTTTTACTATACCATCTAACTCTCTGTGACCGCTTGTTCCACCTTCAAAGTTGGTAACTCATTCCATGGTTCAAACTCAAGATCACAGCTGTTTTCAGCTGCTTGCCAGGGTCTAAAATGCTTCTGACCAAGGCCTGGAACCTCTGAAAATGTCTGAGGGACATTTTGAGTTCCGACATCTCCCCTCTCTGTTTGAACCAGAAACACCCGCTTTACCATGTTGTTCAAGGCCTTTCGAATACACACGAAAATGCATGGTAGAACAAGCAGAAGAACTACAAGCCCTATAAGAATATAAAATGCTATTTTCAAAAGTTCTTTCCACAATGGTGAGATATCAAAAAAGCCAAACAAATCATCCCACCAGGACCCTGTAACTTTGTTCAATTTGCTAATACTATTTTGTATTTGTTTTATATTTTCATGAATAGATTTTGAATGATCGGACAAGTTCATGCAGCACATCCCCTCAAATTCCTCACATCCGTGCCCATGTGTCAGCAGCAAATAATCAATTGCCGCCCTGTTTTGAAGCACTGCTTGCCTTGCACTGCTGATGTCTGTTAACATGTCACTCAGTGCAAACGAAATGGCACGACTGTGTTTGCTCAACCAACATGCTATATGATCCAATTGTGTCAAGGCCACCCCTGATGCTGTTTGGGGTGAGAAAATTGCTACTGCAATTCTCTGAGCCTTGTTCCAGGTAGAAACATCATCCTCACAATTTGGACTATATTGTTCAAGGATCTTTTTTCCCTGGGTGTCTGCTTCTGTAAAGTTTTCAAATCAGGTGTTAACAATGAGAGTTCCCCAATGCTGCATGGACCGACCTTGATTTTTGCAGGGATAGCAGGCCAAATTCTGTCCCCGCAAATGAAAAACATTCCCTTCGGTAAAGTGGCTGGATGTTGAAGGGATGGTTTGCTTGTCGTTTTGGTGTGATTGCACCAAGATGACGCATTTTTATAAAAAGGCTGATTCGGAGTGACATCTATTGTATGATTTTCTGTCTTTGCCACTCCTGATGAATCAAATTTGATGCACCATTTCATTTTTGTTGACCCAAAAATGTCCAATTCCGGAGGTTCCAAGTGAGCCGCAGGAAGGTATTGTGTCCAAACATGCCATCCTTCCACAGGATCCGAAAAAGTTTTCAGAATCTTTGGAGGGATGCTTTTTGGAATTGGCCATTCCTTCCCTGGCACACCTATCAAGCATGTTGAAAATGGTTTCCCTGGCTTTGAATGACTCAGACAAATGCTGTCTAGACCCGCTGCCTTTGCCAAAGTTTCCCACACATTTTCCTTTGGTTGTTTCATGGGAAAGTCTGTCCCATTGCCCAAGGCAATAGTCAAGAGAATGAAGCAGATGAACACTATCTGTCTGAATCCCATGTCCATGTCCCCACCCTCTGTGAGAGACCCTGCAATGCAGCAACACCCAAACAACACTTGATTTCCCAGGAAAAAGAAAACCCCCCAAGTCTCTGGGTGATCAATCGTTGTCCGATGTGACGTCTGCAGCGTCGTCGTCTGCCTTCGTCTGCGTGCTTGCTTCTCTGCTTCTCGGGTCCACGTCCACTTGCGTCTGCACCCGATAAGGTTTCACGTGCCTCGCCGACACCCACTTCGGTCCTCGCTCTGTGGAAACACAAGCGAAACCCTCGCCCCAAGTTATTAATGTAAATGGACCTTAAATTTGTCCCGATTCTGGGTTTCTTATCAAAACTAAAGGATTTTCCCTTAGCTTTGCTTGTGTGCTGTTTGTGAAGTGCCTAACAATTGGTGGAGTGGGTTCTGAGAAAGAACCATTTAAAAAATTCAATACATACAGAGCTTTGTTCAACCACATGTGTGGTGTTGCGCCTGCTTCCCCCCTTTTCTGTTTATCCAAGAGGGATTTCAGGGTGTGATGTGTTCTTTCAATGATTGCTTGACCTGAGGGAGAATAAGGAATACCAAAAATGTGTTTGACTCCCCATTTTTTCAGAAATTTGTCAAGCACCTTGCCTGTGTAAGTTGGACCATTATCTGTTTTTATTTCTTGTGGCACCCCGAGTGATGCAAATGCTTGCAAAAAATGTCTGCAGGCATGTTCTGCAGTCTCCCCTGTATGTAGTGATGCAAAAATTGCCCCTGAAAATGTGTCAACTGAAACATGGATATTTTTGAGCCTCCCAAAAGATGGGTATTTTGTGACATCAGCTTGCCACAGCTGAAGACTCTGCAATCCCCTTGGATTGACAGCTCCTGTGGATGCAGGAGGCTGCACAAGCTGACAATCTGGGCAAGCACTGATGATTTCCCTCGCCTGACTTTTAGAAAGGCGGAAGGACTCCATCAGCGCCTGTGCATTTTGATGGAAAAATGCATGGCTCAATTTTGCCTGCTCAAAAATATCTGGCAATGTCTGTGATATGGTCATTGTGAGTCTATCTGCATGAGCATTCCCTTCTGCTAAGAACCCTGGGAGTGAGGAATGTGCCTTGATGTGTGCAACAAAATATTTGTGCTCTCTGTTTTCTAGAATTGTCCTCATGCACGATAAGTATGAATATAAAATTTCATTGTCAGTGTGTTTCAAAAGTGATCCCTCTAATCGTTTGACGGCATTTGCAACTTATGCTGAATCTGTGATCAGATTGAGAGGTTCCTGAAACAATTGAAAAACCCTGACCACTGCTGCCAATTCCACAATTTGTGGTGAACCCTGTACTATTTTTATATCTGATTCCCATTCCCCTGTTTTTGGATTTTGCCACGTGACCACTGATTTGTGAGTTTTCCCTGAACCATCAGTGAATACTGTCATCCCTTCCACTGGTTCCTGGCTTATTTTTGGCTTTTCCCTGAAACTCACTTTTGCATTTAACATCCTGTGCGCCGGAAAATGAACTGTACAAACTCCTGGATACCCTAACAAAGCAATTGCAAAATCCTGTGATTTCTGCACCGCCCACTCAAAAATATACTTTCTTTAAAGGTACATGAATGACTGAGAAATCCCTGCCTGACATCACTAGCAATCTGGTTCTCGCCTTAATAATAATTTGTGCTATCATTTCTAAATCTGTGAGAATTGTTTTTGAGGGCCTGTAAGCTAAAAAAACCCACTTTATCAACAAAAGAGGGTCCATTTGAGACAAATCCCACTGAAAAATCAACCTATATAACTGTGCTGTTTCCCCCAACACTGCTAAATGAAAAGGCAATGATTCCACAAAGCGATGTGCTTGTCTCTGTTGAATCATGTCTGTGATCTTTTCAAGATCTTCTTTTGCTTCAGGCGTCAGAGTTCTGGGAGATTTGATGTTGTTGTCCCCTCTCAAAAGATCGAGCAGTGACGAGATGTCATCATTGGTGATTCCCAGGATTGGTCTCATCCAGTTGATCTCCCCCAAAAGCTGATGCAAATCCTGCAGACTGGTGACCTTTGTGTTGATTTCTAGCTTCTGTGGCCTTATTGTTTGCTTTGAGATTTTCCAGCCCAGATATTTCCAAGGTGCAATTTCTTGTATTTTTGGTGCACTGATTTCCAGTCCTGCCTTTTGCAGCTGTGCAATCACACAGTCACGAACCTCTTGCACCTCCTGTTTTGTTGGGGCTGCAATGAGCAAATCGTCCATATAATGAATAATTTTTGGTTTTGGATGCTTCTCTCTTGCTGGATGCAATGCTTGGGCCACGTACCACTGACAAATGGTTGGAGAATTTTTGAGACCTTGCGGAAGAACTGTCCAATGGTACCTTAGCAGAGGTTCTTCTCTGTTGATGCTTGGGACAGAAAATGCAAAGCGTGGAGCATCATCTGGATGAAGTGGAATGCTGAAAAACAGTCCTTGAGATCAATGATCACAAGCGACCAGTCTCTCGGGATCATTTAGAGAGATGGAAGTCCAAGCTGAAGTGGTCCCATGTCCTCGATGACCTCGTTGATCTTCCTGAGATCATGAAGCAGTCTCCAAGATCCTGAAGTTTTCTTGCGAATGACGAACACTGGGGAATTCCATGGGCTGTCTGTGGATTTGATGTGTCCCTTCTGCAGCTGTTCCTGGACCAGCTTTTTCAAGGCACTCAATTTCTTTTGCTCAAGGGGCCACTGATCCACCCCAACAGGATCATTTGTTTTCCAAGTCAACTTCAGAGTGGCGAGTGCCACAGTGACCCCTGTTAAAAATCCAATTCTAATTTCAGTCCCCATTGTGCCAAAAGGTCCCTTCCCCACACTGTGATGGGCTTTTGCACGATGAAAGGACGGATGATTGCTGTTTTCCCTCCCAGGCCTGTGACAACGATTGCATTTTCACTCTGCATGCATAGGGAACTTCCTCCTATGCCTGTGAGAGAGCCCAAAGGTGCAACCAAGTCCCATTCCCGGGGCCAAAAAATGTATGAAATAACTGTAACATCTGCTCCTGTGTCAAGCATTCCCGTGATAGCAATTGTCTTTTTGTTACAAGTCAACTGACAAGTAACAATGGGCCGATCTCGGCTCAAATGTTTCACCCAAGATGCATGCACTTCTGCTTGATCACCAGAAAAAGAGTCCCGTTTGTTGAACACTGGCATGACTTGCCTTTCTGGGTGAGATGGCAAAGCCATGGCTCGAGAAATCGGTGTATTTTGTGGAATTGTCAAAGGTGGTCACAAGGCTTTTGCCGTGACCATCAGCTCCTCATTATGGTTTGCTGAAATCAAAGATGGGTAAACAACAAGTCCAAGAATGCTGCTTCTGTCTCTGGCCATTATTAAGAAATCCTGCCTTTTCCAAGAAGTCCCTGTGACACCCGTGGGTATCACTGCATGACTATTGTCCAAAAAACACGTCAATTTGGAGGTTGCCAGGACACATTGGAATCCGGGTGGTACCAAGTCTGGGTCGCTGGGGATTTTGGAGATTGCTCTGCCGAGGGGTTCTGTTTGTTGTTCCCCAAGGATTGCTCCTGCTGATTCTGTGTCACTGCCAGAATTTGTGTCAGAGCGCGCTGGCGTCGATTCGCGCTCTTTTTCCCGATTCCCGGAACTGGATGAGGTCTTCCATCCACGTCTGTCTGTGAGTGGCACTCACTCGCGAGATGCCTCCCTCTCCTGCATCGAGGACAGAGGTCTGGTGGCTTGTTGGGCTTTGCAAGTTGTGGGCAGTTCCTTTTAATATGTCCTTGTGCCCCACACCCAAAGCACCGTCTCTCTGCACCGGTGTTGCTCTTTGCATAATTTGCAAGAGCTTCCTTGACACGCTTTTCAATTAGATCCCCCAAGTGTTCCTCCATGATGGAAGCAACATGTTGTGGTGTCCCCACCTTGCTGCACGCCTCGATCATGTCTGCCAAGGTGGCCTGGTGTGGCATCATGCTGATGATTCGCCTGCATTCCGGGTTGGCATTGGAGAATGCGAGGCTCTTGATCAGATGTGGTTTCGCCCCCTCCTCGGTCACCTGCCGCTCCACTGCTTGGTAAAGACGATCCATGAACGAAGAAAATGGCTCTGAAGAACCCTGCTTGATTTCGGTGTAGATGTTGTCCTGGAACCCCGCCGGAGCAATCTGAAGAATTGCCCTCCATGCCGCCTCTTTGATGTCGCTGAGCACGTGCCGTGGGAGTCTCACCGCCTGTTGAGTTGGATCGTCCTCAGGAGGATCACTGGCAAGCTGCACCATGGTGAGGTTTGCGTTTGGCCCGCCTTGGTATCTGGCTCTCAGCTCCTCCAGAGATCTCCTCCACACCTTCTGCCAAATGAGAGCTTGGGTGTCTGTAAGAACTGATGTTGCAAGATATTTAAGATCATATGATGTTAAATAATACATGCCAAAAATGCTTTTCAACATCTGTTTGAAATATGGTGATGACAACCCACTGTCCCGAATTGCCTTAGCTAAATTTTGATTGCTCCACGATCCAGGCGTTCCCATCTCTGGTTTTGGCCCTGAGCATCATAGTTCACCGGCATCACTATGTTTCCCGAACCCTGCAATAAACCTTTCTCCTTCTCCAATTCTGCCTGAATGTCCTTCCAGTCGACTTTCGCGTTCGGCAAAGCTGGAAATTCTGTGGGTACTTGCCTGTAGAGTGGAGTCATCTGTGGTGACTGCAGTTTTGATGCAGCAGCACTCACCGATACCAACGGCGTCTGCGGCATCTGTGAAGATGACGGCTGGGTGCCTCTGGAGAAAAGTGGAGCATCTGCTGTGGAGGAGAACACATGGCTGCCCTGCATTATTTGGAACATTTTTGGAAGATGAACCAACAGCTCTGGCTGCGACTCCAAGGCTATGCTTAAATATCGTAAAAGAAATTCAACAACCCCTTTTGATACTGAAATTGATTCTCCCTGCCCCGAAATTTTGGCAGACCTTGATTTTGGAATTGTCCAAGCTGGGACACCCTCCGAGGCAGTGATGCGTATCGTGTCATCCTGTTGCTGCGCCTCAGCAGAAGTGTCCTGAGTCCCGCACTCTTCTGGGGTCAGCGGAGATTCCTGCTGTCGTGCAGATGCAGCTCTTCTCACCCAAGATTTTTTCTTATAAGAAACTGGAAAAAAGTCTTGGATTGTTAAAGTCCCACCACTGTGTGGCACAGTGCCTTGGCTGGCTGAGTCCTGTAAAATCTGTTGCAATGTTGTGGTTCCGCCACTAGATGGCGCTGCCGCCTGACAAACTGAGGTCAGGACTGCACTTTGCTCTTCAATTTGCACTTCCGATAAATATTTGAGCATCTCTTCTGACAACTGTTTCACATTTGCAAATCCCGTGGTAATTCCTGATAAACTTTTGAGCATTTCTCCTCATAACTGATTCACGTTTGCAATCCCTGCACTCTGTGAAACTGACTCTTGTTGTAATAACTGTTCTACTCTGGCCATGTCTGAAGCTGACAGGGGTTGGCTGTGGGCTTGGGCTGACTGTTGCCATGGGAACTGCAACGGGACCGTGCCCTGAGGGATGTTTACATCCTGGTCACGCCCCGACCCTGCCTGCGTCATCACGGGGGTGTGGACGCCTCTCCTCCGACCCCGGCCGTGCTTTCGCCTAGCTCCACCCCGCACTGCCTCTGAGTCAGAGCCACTGTCGTCCTCCCCGAGACTGACGTGACTACCTTCCTGTTCCCATTCCGGCCCTGATGTTTCCGCCTCGCTTTGCCCCTCTCCTGGCTCTGTGCCAGCACCCGCACCGCGCGTTCAAGATGCGAAAAATCCCCTCCCCCCGTGGCTTTCGAGTTCCGCTCAACCTTCACGTGCATGCCCACCGCCTGAACCGCAGCGAGGAACGCATCCCGCTGTCCCTCTGCCGCTCCCTCGGCAGATGCGGCTGCCGCGGTCAGGGAGCTGCTCTCCCGCGCCTTCTGGGTGGCCGCCTCGGCAGCCGCACGGATTCTCGACATCGAACGCGTCACCGGACGCTCAGGGCGTACCACCGCCGCACTCGCACCCCCCGCTCTCGCCCCGGTCCGTCCCGTCCCCGCCGGTCCTCTCGCTTTCGCTTTCTGCGCGGGCTGTTTTGAACTCCCAGCCTGCGCAGATGCGAGAGCACTTTCCTATCCCTCCTCCTTCTGCTCGGCACTCACGTACACACCCTCCCCCACTAGGGCTGCTGCCGGCGCCCCTCCCACCGCGGATTCGGGGGCCGCGCCTGGCTTGCTTGCCTCCGTCTGGGGAGTTTCTGCATCAGAGGAGCTTGGGGACTCTCGGGATATTGAGGAGCAGTGGGAACTTGGGGATACGGGACGCGAAGGGGTATCCTCTACTATGTCTGTGGTGAAAGGACCTGTCCCGAGCTGCTGGCTGGACTGTCCCCCCCCCTGTTTTTCCCCAGGAGCCATGGCTGCCTGGCTTGAGCTGCCGCACTGTGCGAGTGACTCTAAAACTGTTCTCGCTGAAGGTAAAAGTTTTGCGGCAAGCTTATCTTTCTTTATAGTTCGATAATATAATTGCTTATTAACTTCCTGCCAAAAATTTGGTTTAAACAACAAATTTAAATCCGAGGGTGGGAAATTACACCTCACCCACAATAACAAAATTTTCAACTCTTTTTGAGTGATCTCTACCGGATGGGCAGAGATGATGCCTTGTAAAGCAGATACTATTTGAATTTCCTCCCGGGAGAATTCCCGTGGGACAGATACTATCTGAGCTTCCTCTTGGGAGAATTCCCCCCCCATGTTCTTAATTTTGACCTTTCTCACCAAAATCTGAGTCAGCCCGGGGTCGGTCCGGAGATGGCACTGTTCACTGTCCAGCAGGTCACAGGTGAGAGATCCCAGGCGCGCTTCTGGGTCGTCTCCTCCCTGGAAAGTCCCCGAGACGAGTTGTCTTGGTGAAGGTCAGGTTCTTATCTTGAGCCTTTCACTCCCTCTCTTCTTGGAATTTGTGGAGAGTGTGTGCGCTCTGCTCTTCTCTGTTTTTGTTTTCCTTTTCTGCTGCTGAAGGTTGGAGGCTGATTGATGTTTCTTCTTGTTCTTCTTGCTGAAGCCCGCCAAGGGACGCCAGGTGTGAGAAACCCGGGATTGATTCAGGGGTCTCGTGTAGTGGTAAAGTCTCTCCTCCAACCCGTGCTTCCAAAGAAAAACTCCGCAGCCTCTTGTTGTTCGGTCTCAAGGCAGTTTATTGCTAGCTATCTAAAAGATTGTCTTCGCCCGCCACGGCTGCCTTGGTCAGCTGCTCAGGCAGAGACACACACACTCCTGACACCCTCACTGTCCAGTGTCTCCGTCGTCTCTCTCCCCGCCCAAGGCTGCTGCTATCTTTTATATGATATATTACGTCTTACATGTTTACAGATTTTCCCCAATACCTACTACCTATGTTACAATGTGCTTTTCTACTCTAAACCAATCTGTGAGTGCCAACATCACCAAGAACATGGAGGTAAGGAAGAAGAAGGAGGAAGAACAGGATCAGGCCCACTTTCCTCCATCTTAGAACTCCTGACCCCCCTGTACAAAGTAAAACCCCCCTGTACAGGTGTTAAAACCCCCCTGTACAATACTAAAAAATTTTCCCCTCTAATTTGTGACTACTTTTACTATACCATCTAACTCTCTGTGACCGCTTGTTCCACCTTCAAAGTTGGTAACTCATTCCATGGTTCAAACTCAAGATCACAGCTGTTTTCAGCTGCTTGCCAGGGTCTAAAATGCTTCTGACCAAGGCCTGGAACCTCTGAAAATGTCTGAGGGACATTTTGAGTTCCGACAGTGGCTTTTACCATTGTGAGCACGTAGCGCTTCCCTTGGTGTGTCTGGGGTAGTGTGATGTAGTTAATCTGCCAGGCCTCTCTATATTTGTACTTGGACTATTGCTTACTATACTAGAGGGGCTTTACCTGCTTGGCCTGTTTGATGGTAGCACACGTCTTACAGTTATGGATTACTTGAGAAATACTGTCTATGGTAAGATTTACTTTTCGGTCTCGTGCCCACTTATAGGTGGCATTTTTACTTTGATGGCTTGAGGCATTATGGGCCCATCGTGTTAGGAATAACTCTCCCTTGTGTTCTCAATCGAGGTCTATCTTTGACACCTTTATTTTTGCAGCCTGATCTACCTGCTGATTGTTTTGCTGCTCTTTATTAGCTTTACTTCTGGGGACATGGGCATTTACATGGCGAACTTTTATAGGTAGCTTCTTTACCTGGGTAGCAATATCTTTCCACTCTTCAGCAGCTTAAATTGTTTCTTTTCTATGCTGCCAGTTAGCTTTTTTCTATTTTTTTAGTTACTCTCATAAAGCATTGGCTATTATCTATGAATTAGTGTAGAGGTAGAGCTTTGGCTACTTCTCTTTTTTTGCAATGTTTAGGGCCAGTTGAACGGCTTTAAGTTTAGTAAACTGGTTTGATTTACTTTTTCTTTTCGTGGCCTCTGTAACCTGTCGTGTGGGACTCTATATAGTTGTTTTCTACTTCTGATTCATTTTTATGATGTGACAGGAACCGTCAGTGAAGAGAGCGTAGCGTGTTTCTTCTGCTGGTAGTTGGTTATATGGTGGAGCTTTTTTAGCCCGTCTCACTGGTTCTTTTTCTTTATCTGTGACACTAAAACTTTTACTTTTGGGCTAATTTGTAATTATTTCTTAAATTTCAGGGCGGTTTAGCTTACTAATATGGGCATGCTGTGTGATGAGAGCAATCTACTTGCTCTATGTAGCACTGGTGGCATGGTGGGTGGAGGGAACCTTTCTTTCGAACATCTACCTTAGCACTGGTAGTTGGGGTGCTAGGAGGAGTTGTGCTTCTGTGATAATTACTTCTGAGGCAGCTTGGATTCTCTTGTAGGCGGCTAATATTTTTTTTTTCTGTTGGGGTGTAGTTGTTTTCAGACTCTCTGTAGCTTTGACTTTAAAATCTCAGTGGTCGGCTTTGAGTTTCATCAGCTACTTTTTGCTAAAGGCTCTAGGACAGACTATGGTTCCCGGCTGCAGAGTAGAGCACATTCTTCACATCTGGTCTTGTCTTGACTGGGCTAAGGGCTACTGCATGAGTAATTTCCTGCTTTATCTGGATGAAAGCTTGCTGCTGCTCAGGGCAAATGGGGCTTAAGAAAGCTTGTGTCTCTTTCTTGTTGGTTGGTGGGGACATAATTGTGATTTTGTTGATGACATCTGTAGGAATTTGACGCTGTCTATCTTGCCACTTCACTCCTAAGAACTGGATTTCTTGAGCAGGTCTCTTTACTTTACTCTTTTTGATGGCAAACCTAGCTTCCAGGAGGATTCGGATGATTTTCTCTCTTTTTTTGAACACTTTTGCTGCTGTGTTCCCCCACACAATGATATTATTAATATATTGTAGATGTTCCCTAGCCTCACCCTTTTCTAGTGCAGTCTGGATCAGTCCATGGCAGATGGTAGGACTGTGCTTCCACCCCTGTGGCAGTCGGTTCTAGGTATACTGCACTCTTTTTTATGTAAAGGAAAACTGAGGCCTGCATTCTGCTGCCAGAGGAATGGAGAAAAATGCATTGGCAATATTAAAAGGGGCGTATCACTTCGCTGCCTTGGAATTTAGCTCGTACTGGAGTTTAAGCATGTCTGGCACAGAAGTGTCTAGTGGTGGAGTCACTTTATTTGATGCATGGTAGTCTACTGTTAATTTTCATTCTCCTTCAGATTTACGCACAGGCCAAATGGGGCTGTTGAAGGGTGAGTGGGTTTTGCTGACCACCCCTTGGTTCTTTAGTTCTTGGATTATCTTATGGATGGGAACCACAGCATCTCGAGTTGTTTTGTATTGTTGACGATGCAATGTTGAAGTGGCAATTGGTACTTTTTGGTTTTTTTCATTTAAAAGTCTTATAATAGTTGGATCCTCAGACACTTTAGGTAAGGTGTTTATTGTTGGGTGCCCTCTGTCGCTATAGATGCTATACGGTTTTCCCTCGCCTCTACCTGCCTAGAGGCAGGGCCCCTCTAAGCCTGGTTATCCTTCTTGCCTTGGGCGTATGTCTTAGAGGTTTCTTTAAGGGGATCAGACATGTCATCATCATCATCATGCCTGGCAGTTTGGCTACAGATAATTGGAATTGCTCTCCTTTTGGTGGCACTTCGTCTCTGAGTCTTGCCTTCCTTCAATTCATGCACCTGTTGTGCTAGAGCAGCAGTAGATTTTTTTCCTCATTTCTTCATGTTTTCTTTGCAATTGCGGAGGAAGAACCACAGCTCAGGCCTTGAGGTGTATTAGAACCTCTGATCTGCATTGCTGAGATTTGGAGAAGGTCCTCCTTAATCTCTTTTCTGAGTCTTTTAAGATTTTTTTCTATCTTATCTTCTAATTTCTGCAAACGTGTTTTTACTGCTGCAATTCTGGCATGGGTTGAGCTACGTACAGCATCTGTATATGCTTGGAGTTTCCTTGCCATGTCAAGCACGGTTGTGGAATTGTGTTATTATATGTTTTATTATGTGTAAGTTCATTCCATGTACCCCCCCCCCGCGCTCTGTAGCGACCCCCCGGGTTTTCCCATCTCCCCCCGTGGTTTGCCTTCCCGGGAAAGTGCCAAGTCACCGTGTTTACATCTCTCAGACCATCTGTCAGTCACGCGGCGGGGTCGGGAGACAACCTGGGACCCTCCACCTGTCCATCCCCCATTGGATGTACCCCTGCACCCCACTGTCCCCAGACCCCCCGTGCCGTTATCTCATTGGCTGCCCCGGGTTTCCCCTGTTCGGTACTTAACCCGCGGGTTGGGGACGCCCCGGGCTTTTCTCTCGCCGGCCCCTGCGTGTTGCTGCTGCCCGGCCCGCCGCCGCCTTTTCTCCCGCCCGGCCCCGGCGTGCTGCCGCCCCGCAACCACCGCCACCGCCGCAGCCGTTCCCGCCGCGGTTTCTCTGTCTCTGCCAACCCCCGCGGCTGCTCCGCGCCGCTGCCGCAGCCACTCAGCCCCACCGCTGCCGCCGCTGTCGCCGCGGCACCCACACGAGTCGGCCACAGTGCCGTGGCCCCGCGTGCCGCCTCTCTTGGCTCGCGGCCAGCTTCAGAGCGCGCCGCCCCGCCCCCAAACCGGCAAGGCGGCACGAACAAACTTCAGCGCGGCAGGCCGCAGCTTTTCGGTTTTTTGCTTTCCCTACCAAGCCGCAATAAACCGGGATTCTGCGGCGGGAGAAAAAGTCTCTCTCCTTTTATTCGCCGCGGGACTTGCCTCGCTCCCAGACCCACGTAGCACCGGCTGACACCCGCGAGGGTTCGCTGGAAAACATGGAAATTGACTGCGCTCTCCTTCCCCCACGGAGCGAGCTGGGACAAAGGGGGGACAAGAGAGCACTGAGGCAGTTGTGGCGCCCACCGCGTTGCTTGGGAGCTCCAGGCAAACGGACTGAGGACCACCGAGCCCCGAGTGGCTGGTGGATTTACCTCGTGGACGTTACAACACCCTCGCAAGCCGCGGTTCCGTTTTAAGGAGCCAGGGCTTCCAGAGGGGTGGGGCCGGCACCTTTGGCCTGCACCGCCGAATTTCGGCCCCCCCACGGCAAAAACTTCACAGCTGGACTTTTCGTTTCCCCTTCGGACGTCGCTGGACCCGTGGTTAGTTACCGGGGTCCCCCTGGGCTGGGTACGCCTTGCTCCTTTTGGGGTGGATTTCTCTTTCTCCCACAAGAGGGCGATAAGATCCCACATTTTGTCTCCCGCTGCAGGGAGTGTGTAAGGACAGGCTCCTAGCGCTCTGATAGGTGTCTTTTTTTTTCTTTTGTTTTTTTACCAGCCGCGAGGATTGTGACACGCTTTAACATCGACATAATGGGTGCAAAAATGTCTGTGTCACACGAGAGAATTTACGTTCAAATCCTAGGAATTTTAGTTGGGGGAGGAAAGAGATGTAAGAAATCAGACGTTAAGCGTTTTTCCCGGTGGCTTCTGCGGTCCTTCCAGGACATCTCGCACACAAATTTGTACCAAGCTCAATTCTGGGACCGAGTTGAAAAAGAAATTTCTCAAAAGGAGGATCAGTCCCTCTCAATTTTTATCCATCTGGCAATCCAATTGAGAAATATTGTCAAAAATAACTGCGAAGGGAAGCCAGAGCCACCGCAGGGCGAACGCTGCCTCCCAAGCCCCCCAAATCCCCCAAAAACCCTCTTCTATCCCTCTCTCCCTAGCCCGGGGATTCTCAGACGGGCATCCCGGCAAAACCAGCCGCAGGCAGAATCTGGCCTTTCTGTCAACCCCCAGGTTCCATCGCAGGACGATGCTGGCATCGCCCTGCACCCTTCCCCTCCCCAAACCTCCTCTCTTTGTACAGCCCTACCCCATAGTAGTAAAGTTGTGAGTTTTAAAACCCCAGATCCCTCTCCAG